AGTTGCTCTGCGGCATGTGGGATCTTCCCAGACCAGGGCTCGAAACTGTGTCCCCTGCATTAGCAGGCAGATTCTCAACCACTGCGCCACCAGGGAAGCCCAATTGAAGTTTTTGATGTTGATTTTTTTTTACCCAACTATTTAGACAGCAAAGAAGGGTTAACTTGAGTGCTCTCATTTATAATTACTGGGATTAAAGTCAAAAGAATTTTATTTGGAATTTTAAATAAAAACCAATTAATGTTAGATTCTTAGTCTGAGACTTCTTTGACATTTAACTTAAACGACATAGAGATGTTACACTTGAACTTTAATTTCGACCAAAGTATTTCTTTTAAAAACTTAAAGGGTATTTATAATCAAATTGAGACATCCATTTGTTTTTGTCATTTTTATTATTGGAGTTTTAAATTTTTCTTTTTCTTTTTTTTTTTTTTAACTTTCATTGCGTAACCTCTGCTGTTCCATTGGACCATGTGGCAGGATGGGAACTGAAACAGGGAGTGACTCTGTAGACTTGATCACAGCATACAGAATGGACTTGGAATCTGTTTCATTGCTATGCTGTCAGGACACATCTGTGCTGTTTTTCTGCGAGGATACTCGAGGAGCAGTTGTTGGAATTGGGAAGAATAACTGACATGTGTCTATTTTTCTCCTCTCCTTAAACCCAGTTTCCTAGGACAACACTTTATTTGACATTTCCCATTTTCGGGGACTTCCGTAAAGTAATCCTCCTGTTCTCATCTTCCTATTCCTTGCTGAATCTTTCCTATGGGAAGGGAAATAGATTATCTTATTTAATCTCTTTATCTGCTTTAGTCTCTCATCTTCTTGCCTTGTTCCTGGCTACCGAGAAAAGAGATAGATTCTTTGGTGTTTCCTCAACATGCACCAAGAATAGCGGAGAACTTTCTTATCCATAGAAGGTCGGCCTGTAGTTTGGAGGGGAGAGAAAGTGAGTTCAATTCTGATTCAGCATAGTGTTAGCCAGCCCCTTTGGTTTCACATCTGAGCCCTGTTATTTACCAATGTCAAAACTGATGTTATTATCTCTGCCTGACTCTGAGGTCTAACTCGCAGGTGTTCCGTCTTAGGCCATAATAAGTCAATATTATTTATTGACTCTCTAACACCAACAAATCATAATACCCACACCCCCTGTACTCAGTGGAACAACACACAACCCCCCTTACGTGCTGGGCAGACAGCATATTTGTTTTGCTTCTGCCCACCGGCCACTAGGAGACACTGTGGCTTCATTGTCATCTAGCATCTATGTGGCCTGGAAGGATGGCATTAAGGGAAACCATAGGGTTGGGTTTAGAGTTAGGGAGTTGCAGGTGTCTTGAATAATGGCTGAGAATGAAGGAAATAGAGACCAACCCTTTTTCCTCTGCTGTGTAGGTGGGTTTTGCTCTGACTGGAGCTCTGAGCCGGCTTTGAATGGTAGGTATGCTTGCAGTGAGCATTCCTCCAAGTTTGCTTAAGACATGGCTGCACGAGGAGCTGGGTGGTGAAGCTTGCACGTTCTGGGCTGGGAAAGCAGAGAAGCAGTTTGAGGGTCAGAGTAGCCTAGTGAGCCTGAACCAAACCAGCCCAGGCCAGCCCACCGGCTCTGCTGTACCTAGAGTGTAGGGTCAGGAGAACAGCAAGTGCTACCCTGGACCTCGTCAGAGGGACCCTGGCCCCAGGGAGCTGACAACCACAGTGATACCACCAGCAAATCAGGCAGGGACTGGGGTGGATCAGAACAACAGAATTTCTCCCCAAGAACTTTTGCTCTCAGCAGGAAGATGCACAATGGAGTTTTGCCAGACTCCGATGTGTCTCTTGGAAGCAGATGAGGTCTGGCAGAGTCTTTTGCCTGGGCTTCCCTTGGCCTGATTTCAAGTTCTTACTGTGTGATTAAACCTCAGTCTCCCCCTTGTATCTGGTATCTCGCTACGGCCTCTTTCACTCACGAGCCCCAAGGATACTGTAATTTATTAGATTCCTATTGCTGCTCTAACAAATTTCCACACATTTTGTGGCTTAAAACAATACAAGTTTATTATCTTACCGTCTTGAAGGTCAGAAGTCCAAAATGGGTCTAAGTGGGTTAAAACAAGGTGTCAGCCCGGCTGCTTTCCTCTGGAGGCTGGAGTGGAGAATCTGTTTTCTTGCTTTATTCAGCTTCTAGGGGCCACCAAGATTTCTCCACTAGTGGGTCCTTCCATCTTCAAAGCCAGCAATGATGGATCCAGTCTTTTCTCAATGCTGCATCGCTGTAACCCTAACTCTTCTTTCTTCTTCCACATTTTAGGGCCCTTGTGATTACGTTGGGCCCACCTGGAGAATCCAGTCTCGTCTCCCTATATTAAGGTCAGCTGATTAGCAACCTTAATTCCATTTAGAACCTGAATTCCTTCCCCCTTGATATGCAATGTGACGCATCCACAGTTCCAGGGATCAGGCATTGAGCTCTTTGGGGAGCCATCATTCTGTCTACCATGTCTATAGGTACCCGGTAACAAGGAAGGAACAAACAATGACCTTTTATACAAATACAGTAACAGCCTCAGTTTTACATTCAGGGTCCAACAGAAACCAAGGGGATGGAGCCCACAAGGGAAACAGGCACCTCTGGTAACAAAATCCAGCCCGTAAACTATCTTCTCTTTAAAACTGGCATGTGCTCCTCGGGTTCAGAAGACTCAGCGGTGTCTCTCTGTGCTAATCACAAAATATGGATTTGAACTGGTCCTTATTCCTTGTCAACAAATAACTTGCTTGAACAACCCAGTAAACAGAAAGCTTCTCTCAGCTTTTCATAACCTCAACCATGAGAGGGAGTGGGTTTGTGGCAGCAGACCCCTTTCATAGGGAAAGGGCCCAGTGTTCATTTAAAAACATCCAGCTTTTCTAGGAGTAAGAATACAGTTTAAATCAACTCTAGAGAATTTGATTTGCAAAGAGAACGTGAAAATCATCTGCTTATTTCATGGTGGGGATAGAGAAATGAGGGAAATTCTATGCTATGGGCTTTGAGAATTTAATAGCGCTCAAGGATAAACGAACCCAGAAAGGTCTTTCACTGTAAAAAAAAAAAAAAGTTTTCAAATTGAATCAGTTCTCCAGACATCAGTTCGGTCCCTGAAACCCTAACAATGCAGTTGCTATTCTTGTTTTTCCTGGAGAGCCCAGAGCCCACCTCCTAACTGATGCATGATTTGGAGTGTGATATAACCAGGAGCATCTAGCCACCAGTGAGAGGAATATGAGGGTTCACAGAGAAGCTGGCTTGCAATGAGACAATTTAAACTTGGAGTTTGAGGTTCAAGTGGAAATAGTTGGCAGGCTCTAGCTAAGAGATTGCATAGAGAAGGCATTATGAATTGATAATATCAAAACATCTGCAGGGAGCCTCTGGATGTGTAAATCTCTATCTTAGATCAATGATGATTGAGTTCAGTCCCGCCTGATTCCTCTCCTGGAGATGCAGCCTTCTTCTCTGAAGGGAGCTTCTGAGTTGCGGCCCGGGGGGAGGGGGCGGGGGATGGCTCATTCAGTGGTGTCACTGACAAACACATCTGTGGGGATAAGCTGTCCCAAATGCACTTCTCTGCTCATTTCCACAGGGGCCCTGGTCTGGACAATTCCACATCGTTGTTCTCATCCTGCCGTGGGCATGCGAGCCCTCTGCTGTGTGGCCCTTTGTCTCCTGCGAATAGGTGAGTCCTTGGAATATTCAATGTCCTCATGTAGGGTTTCCCTATTGTGACTCCAATATTTTTCGTATTCTGTTTCCAAATTCTTTCACAGAGCCCACAGGTGCTGGAGTCACCCAGACACCCAGGCGTGAGGTGACAGAAATGGGGCATGCAGTAACTCTGAGTTGTGAGCCGATTTCAGGCCACACTGTGCTTTATTGGTACAGACAGACCTTGGTGCAGGGATTGGAGTTTCTGATTTACTTCGTCAACCAAGCTCCTACAGACGAGTCAGGGATGCCCAAGGACCGATTCTCAGCTCAGATGCCTAACACGTCATTCTCCACTCTGAAGATCCAGCCCACAGAACCCGGGGACTCGGCCACGTACCTCTGTGCCAGCAGCAAAGACACAGTGCTGCAGAATCACCCCACCCCATGCAGAAAACCTGTGCTTCCGCTTCTGACTCCAGCCCCCAGCCATCCTGAGTCCTGAGTAAAAGCTCCTCCCCTAGAAGCACGGGGGTGCTGTGTTCTCCTGTCCCTAGGGAAGGCAAGAGCCGAATGTAACAAGCCATCACATTAGGAAACGTTTGGTGGGAAGGCAGTAGGGGCCCGGTTCCTGGCATTTCTCACAAATTTCTCACAGAGGGTGACAGTCCATGGCTAAGGGTAAATGTCACCCACTGAGCTTTCAGTTTAAGATTGAGTAAGCATCAGATAAACCCAGTTTGAAAAGTATTCTACAAAATACTTGACCGGTGATCAAGTATGAAAGTATGAAAATCATTAAAAACAAGAACAGACTGAGAAACTCTCATGGGTTGGAGGAGTCTAAGGAAACATAACAAATGCTATGTGGTGTCCTGGATTAGATCCTGGAACAGAGCAGTAGAAAAACCAGGGAAATCTGAGTTTAGCCTGTAGCTGAGTTGTAGCAATGTTAAATTCTTGGTTTTGAGCAAAGTATCATGGTTGTGCATGGTGTTAACATTAAGGAAGGTTGGGTGAAGGGTATAGAGGAACCGTAGTATCTTTACAGCTCATGAGAAATAAATTCTCCAGCGTTGGGTCTCCAGAGTCCCTATAAGCCAGCTTGTCACGTTGCTGTTAATTGTACTTTTGCTCCCTGAGCTCAGGGCACTCAGACAGACCCAGACACAGCTGCTTCTCCTTGGCCTCCGTTCCACGCTTCCTAAACATCAGGCGGGGCAAGGTAGGCTGAGCAGAAGCCTGCAGTGCCGAAGTCCGCCCCCAAGGCTGGCCTGATGCTTCTCTGAGGCTCCCCTTCTGTCCCCTTTGCACACAGCCCCCAGGTATGCGGGGGTCACACTGACTCTGCCATCGCTAGTTTCTGCGAGCTCACAAACACTGAAGCTTAACAGTGAAGAGAATATGCCAGTTACAGATTTATACACGAAGGATATAAAGTTGACTCATTAGTATTACAGGAAAATGATACCCATAAAAATTTCCAAACTGATCAGCAAGACATTTTGTATTGTGTGGTAGGCTGAATAATAACCCCCAGCTCCCCACCCCCAAAGATACCCATGTCTTCATCCCTGGAACCTGTGCATGTTGCCTTAGATGGCAGAAATTGACTTTACAGGTGTGATTAAGATTTTTTTTTTTTTTTTTTTTTTTTTGCGGTACGCGGACCTCTCACTGTTGTGGCCTCACCCGTTGCGGAGCACAGGCTCCGGACGCGCAGGCTCAGCGGCCATGGCTCACGGGCCCAGCCGCTCCGCGGCATGTGGGATCTTCCCGGACCGGGGCACAAACCCGTGTCCCCTGCATCGGCAGGCGGACTCTCAACCACTGCGCCACCAGGGAAGCCCTGGCACTCTTTTAAAGCTTTTTGAGGGGCTTTACTGTGAGCCCATAATTCGGGATCAAATCCGACAGAATCTTGCCATTCCCTCTTGGCTGTCTGTGAGTCTTAGGTACTCCTAAGACTGTACTTGCCTGTTTTCTGCCAGGCAGTAGACCTCATTGTCCTTGGGATAAAGCAAAACCCAGATACGTGGCCTGCTGCTTACATACCTGGACCTTTTCTGGAGAGACTTTATATCCATATTCAGCCAAATAGTTCAGAGGTTTAATGATAGTTTGTAGACACTTTTCATACGTGGGGTTCGCTATCAGCAACTCATCCACATATTGGAGCAAGGACCCTTCATCTAGTGTTACGGTCTGGAGGTCTTTAGCCAGCACTCCTCCAAAAAAAAGCAGGAGAATTTTTAAGCCCCTGAGGTAAGGCTGTCCAGCAATATTGTTGGGTTACCCATGTTTCTGGTCCTGCCATTCGAAGGTGAATAGCTGCTGTGACTCTCTGGAGTAGGGATGCAAAGAAAAAGCATCTTTCAAGTGTGAAACTGACAACCAGCCATATTCTCCCAGAATAGTTGTGAGCAGAGTATACGAATTTGGGATCACAAGGTGCAGGTCTTGGACTGTCTCATTAATAGCCCTGAAGTCTTGAACAAAGTGACACTCTGATGAGTTTGGCTTTTTAACTGGGAGGATAAGGGTCTTGTACGGGGGCTTGCAAGATCTAATTGGTCTAATTTTAAGACTCTCTCAGGAATTGGCTATATTCCCTTCTGGGCCTCTTGCAGCCGAGGATATTATTTTAGATTAGGTGTCCCAGCCTCCTTTCTTAATGGGATTTGTATTGGCCTTGCATTTTTGGCCTTTCCTGGGGTGCCACCACCCCATATTTTTGGTCTTTTCGTAGACCTCAGCAGCGAGGAATTTCCGTCTCCTTCTCTGGGTTTTCTATGAGAGCATCTGTAGGTTTAAAAATGTGTTCTGGTGGGACCCATACATCAAGATGCCCTGGCGAAAAAGTCACTTGAGCATTTAGTTTACAAAGGAGATCTCAACCCAAGAGAGACATAGGGCATTCAGGCACATACAAGAAACTGTCAGGTCTCCTAATTGACGTTCCAATGATTGTAAAAATCATCAGGGGTGGACTGAGGTGTTCTGTGTGCCATGCTGGTGGTTTAGCGTGGAATGGGTTGCACCCATGTCTACTGGAAGGTCAACCCATGTCCAGAAGACATGGGTTGCACCCATGTCTACTGGAAGGACAGTGAGGTTGCACCTCACTGTCAGTTTTAACTGGGGCTCTGGTGGGGATATTTGAATTGGGTGTCACAAATCCAGGGGAGCCCCTGGGCTGCTTTATTCATTATCTGAACATTCCTCTCTCTCTACCATCTGGGAGGCCTCAACCCTTTTCTTTTCCTCAATCCTCTTTTTCTCTGGTCTGGGGCATCCCCTCTTCCAATGCTCCTCCTCTTTCTAATACATGCATATTTCCTTGCCTAGTGATAGTTGACTTTTCTTTTGGAATCCAATGTGGCAGCCAGAAAAGTGGCATTTCGGTTTTTTTTTTTTTAATTTTTATTGGAGTATAGTTGATTTACAATGTTGTGTTAGTTTCAGGTGTACAGCAAGGTGAATCAGTTATACATATATCCACTCTTCTTTAGATTCTTTCCACATATAGGCCATTACAGAGTACTGAGTAGAGTTCCCTGTGCTACACAGTAGATCCTTTTGAGTTATCTACTTTATATATAGCAGTGCGTATATGTCAATCCCAATCTCCCAATTTATCCCTCCCCACCCCCTTTCCCCCAATAACCATAAGTTTGTTTTCTACATCTGTAAGTCTATTTCTGTTTTGTAGATAAGTTCATTTGTACCCTTTGTTTTTAGATTTCACATATAAGTGATATCATATGATATTTGTCTTTCTCTGTCTGACTTACTTCACTCAGTATGAGAATCTCTGTGTCCATCCGTGTTGCTGCAAATGGCATTATTTCATTCTTTTTCATGGCTGAGTAATATTCTTTGAGTCTTCCTTTTTCTGCTTCTGTTCTCTGCTGTTAAATACCTTTAAAAGCAATGTCTACCAACTGAGAAGGATTCGTTTCAAATGTACCATCTAGTTTCTGTAATTTTCTCCTGCTATCTGGGGCACTTTGTCTGATAAATTCATGTTTACCATTCAAGTGTTTTCAGGGGCCTCAGGGTCTGCGTCAGTGTAATGTTTATAGGCGCAGTATATTCTTTCCAAAAACTCAGAGGGGTTTTATTTTGTTTTTGCTGAATCTCTTGAATTTTGTTTACACTCTTTTGTTTTGGTGCCCCTTTCTGAAGCCCTGCCAAGATGCACTTACAGTAGTGCTCTGTTAAGAGCACCCCTCTTTCCCAGTTTGGTTCAGCA